CTAGACCTCAACCAAAAGTGAGGTCAACATTCCCTTATTTGTGTGTGTCCACTATGGATCATAAGAGATTTCTATCTTAAGGATTGGATATGTCATTTTAATAATGATATACCACCACAAGAGGTTGAAATATTGCGTTGAAAAGGATATAATCAGTTGGATGATGAAAATCATTAAGATTTATGGTTCTACCATAACAAGATATTTTTATCCTACTTTAAAAATATAAGATAGGCTTTATTTTATTATGGGTTTGATATCCTTGCAAGGGGAAGTTCAAATAATTAATTACATCTCAAGTGTGTGAACCCTAAGAAAACTCTCAATTAAAGTATTTGCTTGTATAATTCAAAATTAGTATTTTAAAATTTTTAATGATTAGATGTAAGATTTAAAGGGGTTTGTTCTTGGAATTGAAATGTTGGGATTTATAGTCCAACAATGTTGTCTCATAAAAAGGCCCGAAAAATAGATTCAGAAACTCTAGGGAGCAGGTGTACCATGGGGGTTGAAATTAGAAAAATGGATTGGTAGAATTAGGCTAAGGTTATAAGGATTTTGGTGAGATAGAATTTTGGTATAATAAATTATCTTTGAAGAATTAGATTTGATTGGTTTGAATTGAGAAGTTTATTTGAATGATTTGATTTGAAAAGTTTAATTTAGGGAAGTAGGAGAATTGATTTGAAAATCTGAGTTGATTGGTTTAATTTGAAAGGTTTGAGTTGATTGGTTTGAAAAGTTTTATTTCTGAAAAAATGGAAAAATATTGTTAAAAAATTTTTCTAGATAGAAATTGAAAGCTTACTTTTAAGGTAAATCTATACATGATAAAGAGACTAAATGAGTGGACACACGTAAATCATGGTAAGATATACCCCTTCAAGATACTTACAATGTTCAATCATTTCAGGTTCATCGGTTGCCTTAAACTATAAACCTGCCAAAAAGCAATTTTGCACCAGTACCATAGTAAGGGTGAATGTAGACCTTAATGACTATTAGATGGTTAGAGGTGCCTTCATCAATAATTGTTGTTTACTTCATCCTATAAAACCTTTATAATCTAACTAGTATACAACCTTTGGGATTTATATGTCCTAATCTTAGCACTAACTAGGGGTATTTGTTAACCTAAGTTATCCTTTGATATGTGCATATGTGAACGTGGGATTCATTTCTATGGCTGACCTAGGGTTTACAGTTGATCAATTTAGGTTTGAGTTCAATTGTTCAAGTTGGTGAATTTTAGACGGTTTTGGTCGATTTGATATTTTTAATTTTGATTTAAATTGGTTTATTGTTTTTTCAATCAATATTAGAATCAAATGTTCTAGTTTTCTTAGAAATATTAGTTTTTGAGTCTAGGTTGAAGTTTTTCATTTGGTTTACTATTCTATGTTAAAGTTACATGCAATGCCAAAAGGGGGTTTCACATGTATTCTATTTAAACATCTTTCTTTTACTTCTATAAAGTGTGGGTCTTCAGTAAAGAGAAAATATGATGGATTTTGAATGGAAGTCTTTAATGGGTTTTGATTGATTAAATTGAGTATTATTAGTTCAAATTAACTTTAGCTGAATTTTGTTTTTAATATGAATCCATATTGAATGAATTATTAAGATTATTCATTTTATTATCAAAATTATTTTTCAACTTATTGCAGGCTTAATGACCCCCAAATGATGTTTGATTTGGGCATAAAGGAATACATTTGAAAGGTTTCAACAATCAGGATGAACTCATGCATTAAATTTTGAAAAATAACACTTTATTGAAAAAATTTTATATGGGGTTATTTTTCATACATAAAAACCCAAAACAAAAAAATTTTACGTAAAAATAGTGTATGATCATCATCGAACTAGTTTGTATGGTTCTCCTACATGACAATGAACACCATCCAACTTACAAAATGAGCTTCTGAGAACTAGATTTGCCTGTGATTAAACTTTTTTTTTTTTGTGGTAGGAGCA